TAACCTGTAATGTATACAAATATTATAAAGCTGAAGAGTTTGTTTGTTTGAACGCGCTAATCTCAGGAACTACTGGTCCGATTTAATTTTCTTAAATTCCTTTCTGTGTTAGATAGCCCATTTATCGAGGAAGGCTATAGGCTATATAACATCACGCTAAGACCAATACAAGCGGAGCACCGATAAAGAATGTTTCAAAATCGGGATTATTGTGACAGAAGGTTGGCTCACTATAACGTTTTTTATGCTAACCCAATTTTGTTCTAAAATAAAGCATTATTTGTGAACTATTCCACGCGAACGAAGTCGCGGGCAAAAGCTAGTAAATTTATAAATTTGAACATTAATCAAACTAAATCTATCAGTTGCATCTACGAGACAGTTACTGTTCGAAAATATGATAGGAAAGATAACGCATACGGTTATTTGAGATTATTCTGAGAAATTATTGTGATATTTTATTCAACAGTCGATCTAGATCTAGTAATGTTATAAATAAGAGCGACCTTTTAATGAAATAGCGGTTTTAAGTTGCCACAAAAGTTTTTTTAAAATCGATCGTGTAATGAACAATGCATGCGTTTGATTATAATGAATAACAGTTTAAAAAAACTAACAAAATACGCTTTTATAGAAAATCAAACTAAAAAATAGAAATAAATATTAATCATTTTGAGGAATCTTTGAACATGATTTTGACCCCCTTCAAAACGTCGGATTAACTCGAAATTTGGTATACTTATTAAGGACCGATGACAATTCAATATTTTAAACAGTTTGATCCGTTATCCTTTCTAGGATAATCAGGATTAACGATTTTTATTTTCCTGAGACCCGGAGTGTTTGCGTCAAGACCAAGAAGGGAAACTATGAGGGGGGCGCCGATCACCTCTTTCTCGGATAAGCTACCAACTGATTCGTGTTTTTTTTTAAAAATTATTGAATTAATTGAAATTAAACTAAAAAATGAAAACACTTTTTTTTTACAATAAAATCATTTTTTCTTACACTATTTTTAATTCAAATTTATTAAAATTTATTTTCTATTTTTTAGTTGGATTTTCTATAAAAGCGTTTTTTTTTAGTTTTTTTAAAGTTTATTAATTAATTAGTAGCTTAGATCACATTGCATTAATTTTTGTTTTTATGTCACTTGTACAAAATAAAAAACTTTTTTTATTTTATTTATCTATTTATTTATTAATAAAAAACCTAGTATTCCTCAGAACTTAAGTTTCAATATTCTTTTATCGCAATCTTGTCTAGAAAGAGTAATAAATGATTTTATCGGGTACTTAAAATTCTACGTGAACTATTTCGTTTTAAGGCGAAGTTTATTAGTAATGCTGTATCCTACAGCTTAAGCGGAATAAATAGCCTTTGTTTGTTTGTTAAATTCATTGAATTTAGTACTGAACACACTGACTCGAAGTATATTATATTATTCTTTTAGATTTACGTAATACGTAATTACAAATGAATAAGTGCAGAAAAAAATCTATAGCCAGAGAAGAAAATATCATAAATATACATAGAGTATTGTTCCTTTTGTTGAGCAAAATCCACTTGACTAAAAAGCTGACATCAAGTACCAAAAAAGGTTGTCCCAAGTATGTTTTTGGACTAAATTAATGAACTATCTCACAGCCCTCCTAATGTTAAGCGGTCATAGAGATAAAAGCAAGCTTGAAGGTCGAAATCTCAATTTTATTCTATACTAGCTGACCCGGCAGACTTCGTAGTGCCTTTTGTATAAACTTTTGTATAAAATAAACTTAAAACAAACAAAAGGAATCAGTCCGACGGGGGACACATCAATGGAAAAACAAAATTGTTATTTTTATTTAATTCCGAGCATTTTCATATTTATTTAAACCTTTTAAACCTTCTCTGGACTTTCACAAATAATTGAAGACCAAAATTAGCCAAATCGGTTGAGCTGTTCTCGAGTTTTAACGAGACAAATGAACAGCAATTCATTTTTATATATAGAGATTTTTTCAATCGAATACACCATACCCGAAATCATAGAACGAAACAAAGAATCATACATCCGTTACATATATTAGATTTTTATTATAAAAAAAAGAACACAATATTCCTAACCTAAAAGTACATGTTATTATCCGCAACATGCTTCGTTCATATATTAGATTATGTAGGAGTTTTTTTTTTTTTATTGCTTAGATAGGTAGACGAGCTCACAGCCCGCCTGGTGTTAAGTGGTTATTGGAGCCCATAGACATCTACGACGTAAATGCGCCACCCACCTTGAGTTATCAGTTCTAAGGTCTCAGTATAGTTACAAGTATCTCTAATCCGTTGTAATGCTTAGATTAGCTTGTTAAACGAATTGAAAATACATTTAGCGTGAACAACGACTGTATGTAATCCAATTATATGATAATTTCAATATCAATATGTTTTTGTTGCATGCCTGTACACTTTTTACTAATACTAGCTGACCCGGCAGACTTCGTAGTGCCTCAATCGATAAATGAGTCGTCTGTTATCAAAGGTGGCAATCTGTGCATTTGGACAAAAAACTGTTATTGATATGTCAATACAGATTGATTTGAATATAATCGTCTCCTTCAAAGAATACGGTTCAAAACTTGCATTAAATAAAGGTTAATAGTTAACCTGTTATTTATCTAAGATGTCGTTCCGAAGAGTTTTGTGACTGCCAATGGAATACAAAGTCAATAATTCGTTTTTCTGATTTACCAATATTATTCAAAAGTCAGATTGCCGGCTTTGATAATAGACGACTCAAATAAAAGACCTAAACTTTTGTAAAAAAAAAACTTAAAATTATTGGGGCTATTTCAGCTACGCTATGACTGGTAGGTGAGCTCACGGGCTTAACTTTGATAGAGGGCTTGATAACACTAGCCTTATCAAGAGCTTCGCAAAATTTAAAACTAAAAATTAATTTTTACAATCGAAAAAGTACTTTTAATTACGTATTTAATTCGTAAAAACCGATAAAACTAAATTTTTCACGTTATTACTTAGTAACTAAAACTACTCTTACGATTGAGGCGTCCGTGACCATAAAAAGTTTAAAGTATTCCAAAAACGCAAGATTAAACCTTGAAAGAAGGTTTAATTATTTCTAAGACTTGCAAAAACCGGAGAAAACACAATTATTAGTTAATGTTTCACCCTAAGTGATCCCAAAATTGTATTTTCTCCTGTGTCATGGGTGCCCAAAAGTATTCCTATGAGATGAGTACAGATAAATCTCGAATTTCGAATAAATCCATTCAAAGAAGACCTCTGTGTGTTATGGTCAATAGAAAGAAACAATTGCTTACAATTCGTCAAACTTAGAAAAGTTTACACAATTTTGTTTTAATTTTTTAACCCCACAGATACAAGACGAAAATTGTCCGCCATCTTGTGACGAAAGGCGGGAGCCTCATCGCCATTAAAAATTCTACTCGAAAAAATAATACGGAATTGATAGTCCAAGACCTGTCAAGACGTAAATTACAGGAACGTCAAAATCCATACCGCGCCCACAATACTGCCGCTTTCGCTAAAGTTATCAGCAATAAAATTAATAATTTATTATGAACCAGTTTTAAATTTTTTAATGTTAATTCAAAACAAATACAGTTAATTACGTGACATTTATTTACACTGACACAGAAATTAGAAGAATCTATACTATATAATATAATATTATAAAGAGGAAAGATTTGTTTGTTTGTTTGTTTCGAATAGGCTCCGAAACTACTGGACCGATTTGAAAAATTATTTTTCCATTAGAAGCCGACATTGTCCCTGATGAACATAGGGTACTTTTTTAAAAAAAATTTTTTTTTTTTTTTTGTTTCATGTGTGTTTTAATGTTTCCGAAGCGAAGCGAGGGCGGGTCGCTATTTCGTCATATTTATCATGTCCAATTTCAATACTATACTCATGTCTGTCTGTGGTTTATATTTCTGCCGCAAAGCAGGTTTCGGTTTAAGGGCAGCTAATATACTATGAGACTTATATCGATAATCATATTAATATTATTGTCATATTATCAATACGAAAATGACTCTGTTTGCTGATTTTTTACTGGTGGTAGAACCTCTTGTGAGTCCTTACGGGTAGATACCACCACCCCGCCTATTTCTGCCGTGAAGCAGTAATGCGTTTCGGTTTGAAGGGTGGGGCAGCCGTTGTAACTATACTGAGACCTTAGAACTTATATCTCAAGGTGGGCGGCGCATTTACGTTGTATATGTCTATGGGCTCCAGTAACCACTTAACACCAGGTGGGATGTGAGCTCGTCCATCCATCTAAGCAATAAAAAAAAATTAAAAAGTTTTTCATGCCTATAACAACGAAACTAATTTTCCCAAAATTCACAACTCAAATAGTTAAATAGTTTGAGCACTGGTAAAGAATATGAGATATCTTTTTGTCCACCGCTCAGCTAAAGTGTAGTCTATCTAAACTAAACTGCCCTCGAAAAGCAAGGATCCACAATAAAACATTGAGCAATACATCACATCCAGGTCACTGTCATTAAAATATCATTCGAAATATGCAATCAAATTATGACGCTGAAAGGTCAACGACATTTATACAAACGTTAAAGTAATAAAACACGAGGGTTTATGTATTAAAAATGTTCTTTCCATTCGGTATTCGTTCTCAGACTCATCGTCAGGATTGTGTTCGCTAGAATGTTTCTCAAAAGAATGCGAAGGCTGTTTATTGTATTATTATTGTAATATTTTAAAATAGTATCGAAGTTAAATGAATTACACTTATTTGTTTTTTTTTTGACTGTAGTTTTTTGTTGTGACAGTGAACTTCTTGGAATCTCGTACGGAAAATGCAGTGGTACGATGTGAATTAAAAATAAAGAAAAACATTTGTTTAGCATGCTTAAAATGCAGTGCAAGACTTGAACGATTTTCGATAAGGCGACACGTAAAGTAGGTATGATTAAAGAAAATGTGAGTTGGCATTCTGTGCGTGTTACGTGAACGACATGGCGTCGAGCAGCGTCTTCCGTTTCCTGGTGCTCCTGGCCGCTCTCATCTGGATTCTCGCTGACGAGAAGAACGTGACCAGGGAGAGGAAACGATCTCCAATAAACGGGAGCTGGTTGTGAGTATTCTATTCTATGATACGTATATAATTAAATAAATAAATAGCTGGGAACATATCACGCACGGTCACATTCGGTCACATTTGGTCCCAATTTAGGATTCCCTTTTTTAATGTGTTTTATGACCTGGTAACTAAGACCTTTAAGTCACGTCTTATTTTAATTTATATTATTATTTCTACGAAAAATGATAATATGGAGGGAAATGAAATGTAGATGATTAATTTGAGACATTAATCAACTGGGATGTAATTAAATGAAATGAGATGTGATGATATGGGATGAAATACAATCTCAGTAAAATGGTGGTCATTTTTTGAGATTTTTTTCAGATGACTTTTTGGACCTAAAGGTCTTAGTTACCAGGTCATAAAATCCTTTAAAAATAAATAAACAGTATTTATGCAAAAAAACCGTTAGCCAAATAGCAAAAAAAAAAGTGTCTAGTCTAGGAAAACCCTGTTAATTATGATCGATCGTGTATATTGTAGAACTCGTCTAGACGGGCTCAGGTGTCCATACTCTAAGTAATAACGATCTCTTTTATGTAGCTTTAAACCTTTATAGCATTTATATTGGTAATGTGATGAAGCCTTAGCCATTGTATAGAATTGAAAGACGGTATTACAGACAAGCGTTCTCATTTTAAGTGCGATGTTGGGCGCGAAATTCTTCTAAATTTCGTTTATATTTTGTATTTTAAGAGAAAGTACCATATTTCCGAGGAGAAGCCCTTTATAAACCCGCTTAAAAGTAGAACGCCAGATCTAGTTAAGCATCTGTACCAAAATTCTTAACATGCAATCCTCTGTTTTCCCTACTGATCCTAGTGACCTCAAGGGGTCGTATAGATTCACCGAACGATTAGGTGAGCTCAGGGGTCACAGGTTAGCCTGACGAATTTGCTAACACTAGCCCTAGCAAGAGCAGTGCTTCGCAGAATCCACCATCATATCGGAATCACGACCCACTGAGAAGATCCGGCGAGAAACTCAGTGGGCTGTGTCTATGAGTTAATTTGCTCGCCTTCTTCGCAAGCGACGGCTTGCAATCCTGTTTCTCATCTCAAGCCGCGTGTCCGTAGTAGCAGCTTCTTCGACTAACTTCTCTATCTAAAATCTCACCTTAATGCCTACTTAGAAGTCGAAATTATATCCAAAAGCCACTAGAGAATCCATACACCAACATATTTCTGGTCTTTACTTCCGCGAGTAATAGATATAATTAAGGCTACTAGTTTTTCCATCCTTGTAGGCAGACGAGCATACAGCTCACCTTATGGCGAGTGGTTACCGTCGCCCATGGACGTCAACAATTCCAGAGGAACGACCATACCGGCTTAATCTCGCGTTTTTTGTTAATTTTTACTATATCTTTTACAACTTTTCGATTGACCTTAGTCTTCTGGGACAACAGTAGAATACGTGAAATGTCGGAAATGATATGTAATTACATATAATGATAAAAAACGCGTTATTAAATGGTAAAAGTAATTTTAATTATACCAATTTTTAATTAAATAAATGCACACGTACTGTTTTTAGGGTTATTTAAAATTTTACGCCGCAGTTAGAGTTAGATGTTGAAATTTTAAATGCGAAATCCGTCGCTTTTAATAGAATAATCTTTTAGTTCAATATTACAGTTACTTTGGTAAAGCTTTGTAAGGAAAGTTTATACCCATTTACATTAATATGCGATAAAACAAATTACGTGTTTTTTTAACACGATGTTATTAGTTTAGTATGTATATACAGTGATGGGTTTAGACTTGATGCCTCCTTAGGCCCTGTTTATCGCGCAGTCCTTAATGTTAGAATAAATTTTATTTTAAAATTTAAAATAACTTTATAATGTTTTATTATAAAAATTAAACTGAATTCATTTCAAAGGACACTACATACTGTTTTTAATTTTTTTTGCCCCTGAAATTTTGACATTCGAAAATGTTGCCACTCCTCAAATAGTGGCGCGCTAGGGGTTTTTCTAAATGCCATCTCTGTATATATGGTTTTTGTGTAAAGGATTCTATGAACGTCATTGTCACAGACTTAACATCGGATTAACTCGGAAAATTTGTTCAAGCCGATGACGACACAACAATTTTATAGCTTCGCTCTAATGTCCTGACCAGTATCAAAAGATTTAAAACAAAAGTACACGTTATTAATTGATTGAAGGTTTTTTTTTTTTTTTAAACTGAAAACTGCATTTATTTATTCATTGAGAAACACACATTCGTATGAAATTCGTTTGTAGGTTCTGATATTGCCTCACGCTCTTCGGTATCCCGTACAGCCAGAACTGGTAGCCCATGGCGCTGATGTTACTGCTGACGAATGACAGGCTTATTGATTCCTGGAAATGAACACGAGAAGTTTACTGGCGGTAGGAGCGTGAGTCCGCACGGGTAGGTACCACCGCCCCGCCTATTTCTGCCGTGAAGCAGCAATGCGTTTCGGTTTGAAGGGTGGGGCAGCTGTTGTAACTACACTGAGACCTTAGAAGTTGTATCTCAAGATGTGTGGCGAATTTACATTGTAGATGTCTATGGGCTCCAGTAATCACTTAACACCAGGTGGACTGTGAGCTCGTCCACACTACTAAGCAATAAAAAAAGGAAATTAATTTTTTATTAATACGTTTTTATTAGCTTCAGACGTATGTATGTAACGGAATCTTTGAACATGATTTTGATCCTCTTCAAAACGTCGGATTAACTCGAAATTTGGTATACTTATTAAGGACCGATGACAATTCAATATTAAGCAAAAAATAAAAATTCGAAAAAATTTAAATTCTACTAAAATATGAAAAATAAATAATAGTTTAAAAAACTAATAAAATACGCTTTTATACAAAATCCAACTAAAAAATAGAGAATAAATTTTAATAAATTTGATTTTTTGATTATAATTTTGCGGGTTGAGTACGTATTTCATTAGACAAATTGGTACCCACCCGCCTGGGATTCAAACACCGGTGCATCGCTCAACACGAATGCACCGGACGTCTTATCCTTTAGGCCACGACGACTTCTGAAAAGTTAGGTAGATAAAAATACAATCTTTCAAAATGTCATTATTCAGCAGCCGTGGTCTAAGTTGAATATTTCGTCGATGTCCTAAGGCCGTGTTTACATTAAAGTATTGTCTCGTTGTGATCGAAATGCAAAACAAAAGGGATTTATCATTTTTTTATTTTTTTATTGCTTAGATGGGTGAACGAGCTCTCAGCCCACCTGGTGTTAAGTGGTTACTGGAGCCCATAGACATTTACAACGTAAATGCGCCACCCACCTTGAGATACAAGTTGTAAGGTCTCAGTATAGTTACAACGGCTGCCCCACCCTTCAAACCGAAACGCATTATGGTGGTGGTACCTACCCGTGCGGACTCACATGAGGTCATACCACCAGTAAATGAACCGTGAACTTAAATTGATTTGAATTATCATTGTGAACTGACCTCAAGAAGCCCACCGCTACTGATGTACCCTCTGCTCTCGACGCTATCAATGAAGAGGTTCACTCTGAAACCGGTTATAATATAGTCTTCGTAATGATCCGGCGACGCGCGAGTCTGCAACGATGTTGGCACTTGTTAGAATTCAGTGTTACTAGACTGTATTTTATTTATTGACTAGCTGACCCGGCAGACTTCGTAGTGCCTCAGTCGATAAATAAAAGACATAAACTTTTTTATAAAACAAATTTAAAACAAACAAAAGGAAACCGTCCGACGGGGGACACATCAAAGGAAAAACAAAATTGTTATTTTTATTTAATTCCCAGTATTTTCATATTTATCTACCTTTTAAACCTTCTCTGGACTTCCACAAATAATTCAAGACCAAAATTAGCTAAATCGGTCCGGCCGTTCTCGAGTCAAGTAGCGAAACTAACGAACAGCAATTCATTTTTATATACTTATACGATTCTGTATATAGATTAGTGAATTAGCTCACGGCCCTACTGGTGCAACAGAAACCCGTAGAAATCAACTGAGTAACTGTTATCACCCACCTTGAGGTAGATTTGAGGCTGAAATAGGCAGAGGACGGTACTTACTCACACCTGATGTTATTATAATATTACTAACTAGCTTTTGCCCGCGGCTTCGTCCGCGTGGAATAGTTCACAAATAATGCTTTATTTTAGGACAAATTTGGTTAGCATAAAAAACGTTATAGTGAGCTAACCTTAACATATAGACATATGCTGTCGCGAACTTTTTTTGAGATCTTTTAAAGGGGAACAATTCTGTCATACATTATTTTAGCGAAACTTTAACCGTTTCTGCAGCGCACGCAGCGGAAGCTCTCAAAAGGGGAAAAACATTCAAAAACATTGAAACATTCTTTATTGGTGCTCCGCTTGTATTGGTCTTAGCGTAATGTTATATAGCCTTCCTTAATAAATGGGCTATCTAACACTGAAAGAATGTTTTAAATCGGACCGGTAGTTCCTGAGATTAGCGCGTTCAAACAAACAAACTCTTCAGCTTTCTAATATTAATAGGTATAGATGATTTAATCTTGCTTCAACAATCTGCTTTGTTGCTTGCTCGTGAGAAACCGCTCGGATATATTTGAGAGTTTCATTATACAAACCTATATTTATTTATTTTTAAATTGAAAATTACTCCCTGTCAGCGGGATTGTAACGTACTTACCATCTGGCTTTGGAATGAGCTCTGATGTTTCCCGAGCGCTATGACATATCCTTCATCAAACGAGGCTTGTGGAGAGTACTTAATGGTAGGCAGCGACTTGGCTCAGCCCCTTGTATTGCTGATGTCCATGGACGACGATAACCATTCACGTGGTGGATCGTATGTTCGTCTGCTTACAAGGGCAATAACAAAAAAGAAAAAAACGACGTGATCGCTTCGCTGGATGCGATTACCCGCGGCGTCTTATCTCTTAAACCACGGACGCTTGGTAAATCAACTAGACTGGGAGAGAGAGCTGTTAGAAAAATAATATGAGGAATGGGTGTGTTTCGTGGTCGCCTGCCGTTTCTTCTGACGTCAACAACTAATCTATATATTAATACGTGAATGAAAAACTTTGTATCTCTTTTTACGAAAATTGCGCGGACGGAGGAGTATGAAATTTTCCACACTTATAGAGAGTATAGATAAGAAATGCATAATGCTAATATTTTTTAAAAATAATGCATAAAAGATACATTAAATCAATAAGGAAAAAATTACACATACTACCATGTATTTGACACAGCACATATTATATATAAATTTAATCTTTGTTTATTGTCAATTGTCAAACTTTTGTTAGTGTTTAAAGTCTGCGGTCAAATTGAGAATAGATGAATATTGTTTTTTTTTATTATTATTTATGTATAGTGTAGTTTTGGCGAAATCTGTGATTATATTAAATAAGTATAATAGCATTGGACAATAGAACCATAATAATGTTTAAACATAAAATTTCAATTGATTAAAGTCGAATTTCCGGGGGAATTTCCGGGGACCACTACTATAGTTTAATTTAATGAATGTCTTGACTTACCGTTTCGGTCGGGTACGATAATGTTAGGTTCACATCTTGAGCGGGAAACGTCCATTTCTTTGTACCGTATATTAGTAGATATTCATCTGGAATACAAGTTAAAGTCTTCAATTAACGTGGCTAAGTTACACTTCGCTTCATCTCTCTCCTTTGATTTCTATCTCGCTCTCTCCTTGAAGTATAAGTGACTGTTTCAGTGTTTTCACGGGCGTCGGGTTAAATGTGTTAAAAATTTATAGTAATCTTGACCAGACAACATATTCAGATTGTATAACTCCCCTAACTAACTAATGTTATGAAATTGACATATTTGTTGGTCACGTTCCTGTAGACTTACTCAAAATGAATAAAAAAAGATGTGTTTGTGTCCTGGGACACCGGATAGGAACGAAGTTCCTTATTATAAAAATATTAATTTTAAGTTCTATTCGAGGTATAAAGAAAATAAAACTGGAGGTTTTTTTTTATTGCCTTTGTAGGCAGACGAGTATACGGCCCACCTGATGGTGAGTGGTTACCGTCGCCCATGGACTTCAGCAATGCCAGGGGCAGAGCCAAGCCGCCGCCTACCGTTGAGGTTTCGCAACAACCCACGGTCATTCGGTAACGTGCGAACTTATTGTGGTACACTTCATTCACGGTTGTTTGCATAAGAGCAATACACTAGTATTGCGCAAACGAACGCTCTGAAATCGTGGTCAATGAATGGTAAAAAATATGTTATTTTTTGTACGTTATGACAAAGTTAAGTCGTACACTTTACTAATTTGTACGTTATTACAAATTTAAGTCGTACACTGGGTGCATTACTAATAAAAATCTTACGTTACGGACGTTTTTTCCCGGTTAGGGTACCCCTCCGCATCGTCCCATAACGAACTTCGTTCCAAAAAAACAAAAAAAAGTTAACAAATTAATTTAACCGACGTGCCCAAATAAAAGGAGAATTTCATAAATGTCATTCTATAATAAATTATTAAGGGTAACTAAAAACACTGGTCAGATATTGGTAAAAAGTATCATCATGAAAAGTAGTGGTTTTCAAATTAATCATTAAAATCGGTTTACCTAGTAAAAAGTTCTGAGATAAATTAAGTAACATTAAAAAACATACTGAAATTGAGACCTCATCCTTTTTTGTAGTTGCTTTATAATAAACTAGCGACCCGCTCTCGCTTCGCTTCGGAAACTGTAATTTATTATGGATTTTGCCACTATTTAATGGATGTTATTAGACATATTAACCTTCCTCTTCAATCAGTCTATCTATTAAAAAAAAAAATGTGTGCAATTCACTCGTGGTAGAAGTGAAACCTTCCAAAATTAAAATACAATTATCCTAAACGTCTAAGTATATGTAAAATTTTGTCATTAGTAAATAATGGTAAGGTAGCGCCCTCTGTGAATTGATATTTTAATTTCACGTATAATCCTAAATTAAAATTCACTACAAGAGCTTTCATACACACGTTAGTATTAAAAAATCTCACAGATGGCGCTGTATTAAATAGTATGTATATTTCTGTCTCATTCTTTGCTGGCTTCATCCTACACATTTTTGTATTTGTGTCTCTAACCTGTCGTTTTTTCCGTTGCATCCGGTTTGAAATCACAACGATTCTAAAGAAGTTTTCACTTCAAAAAAAAAACATAATGTTACGCCATACCCGCTAAGGCATGTGATCGGAGTGTGAATTATACTCATCTATATATATATGTAATAGAAATTCCTCGCATACCTGTAACGAAATCTAGAACCCTGATTAGGAATTCCGGTAGCATTATTGCTCATATCCGAAAATGTAACGAAGTTTAGTGGTAGCGTTGGCATAGTCAATAAGTATAGGTCTTTAATTGTACTAGACGGTTGAATGGGCACACGGCCCAACTCGTCTTAAGTTGTTTTTCTTAATTTTTTTATTGCGCAAATGGCTGGAGGAGCTCACAGCCCACCTGGTGTTAAGCGGCTACCGAAGCCCATAGACATCTACGACGTAAATGCCGTCACCCACCTTGAGATATGAGTTCTAAGTTCTCAGTATAGTTAACTGCTACCCCACCCTTCAAACCAAACGCATTACTGCTTCACGGCAGAAATAGGCGGGGTGGTTGTACTTACCCGTGCGTACCCACAAGAGGTCCTACCAAAAGAAAGAAATAAACTCAAATTTTATTCCATAGCTGTTGACTGACTCTTCGAATCCGAGATTGGTTCGCGCTAGATTGGCTGGCCGTATTTAGCCTTTTTTTCTCACAATGCTCTTTGAATTGGTATTTTTTGCGCCATGTACCTTCTTTAGGTACTGCCAAGCGGCACGTCCAAATCTTAATAAAAAACAAAATGTGTGCAATTCACACGTGGTAGAAGTGAAACCTTCCAAAATTAAAATACAATTATCCTAAACGTCTTAAGTATATGTAAAATTTTGTCATTAGTAAATAATTGTAAGGTAGCGCCCTCTGTGAATTGATATTTTAATTTCACGTATAATCCTAAATTAAAATTCACTACAAGAGCTTTCATACACACGTTAGTATTAAAAAATCTCAGAGATGGCGCTGTATTAAATAGTATGTATATTCTGTCTCATTCTTTGCTGGCTTCATCCTACACATTTTTGTATTTGTGTCTCTTACCTATCGTTTTTTCCGTTGCATCCGGTTTGAAATCACAACGATTCTAAAAAAGTTTTCACTTCAAAAACCGCATCAAAATCCGTTACGTAGTTTTAAAAATTTAAGCATACATAGGGACAGATATAGGGACAGAGAAAGCGACTTTGTTTTATACTATGTAGTGATTTATATTGTATTTATTAACGTATACATATCATAACGTTAATACCACCGCTTTGAGACAGAAGTACGTAGTCTCAATGGTAGAGCTATACCAAATTTCAAACTCGCGACTGGAGAAATAGACAGAGTTTCCTCATACATATGACATCACAATAGCACCTATTGCCCTAGACGCGTCCTTAGGGATCCATCAGATCCAATAAATCTTGCATTAGACGCCTTCAGCTCTAACACTAGGAGCAGGCTTAGAGACCCCGGTAACCGTACTGGTTGAACTCGGCAAAGAGTTCGACGTGCAACCTAACGTAAGCATCTGCCCGCTGAGTTTCATGCCGGATCTTCTCAGCGGGTCGCGATTCCGATCCAGTGGTAGATTCACTCGCGAAGCAGCTGCTCTTGTGTTATTAGCTCTACTCAACGTCATCATTCCTTTATCACGGAATCCATTGCATAACACGTGTATTTAATTAAATAAAATTCGATGCCTATAGAATTGAAATCCCTCGTATACCGAATGTAAAATTACCAACTCTATAAACTACTAGCTGTACCCGTCCGCTTCACTGGGCATTTAAAATTAACATTATTATTTCTTACCCCCACAAAGATTCTCATCATTAACGCCCCCGCAACTGGTGTAGGGAGTCCAACACTGATATAAATATTAACCTATCCATTAAGTGTATGTATTTTCTACATGGATACCAAGTTTCAAGTCAATCGGACGCATGGTTCAGTATTAACGGAACATCCGTAAAAACCACTGTAGATTTATATATTAGTATAGATTTAGATTAGGTTTGCAAGACAACGACTTAAAAAAAAAACTAAAATTATTCAGTAGGTAATACAACACTATAGCTTTATATATTATAGATATAGATTTATATATTGGTATAGGTTAGGCGACGAATGCTTAGCTCCCGTAAAAGAACTTACCGTCAACACCAATGGAACAGTAATACTTGTTCACTGATTTGTAAATAACAGAATAGACGCGATTATCGTGGTAAAAATTCTCATCGGATTCCGCGTCCTCGACAACTGGCGTCAGAAAATCCTCACCGCACAGACAATTAACATTAAACAACGCGAATATAATTAAACATCTCATAATATACATCACTTGTTACATGGCTCCTGTTATTTTATAAATGATCTTTCTTTAATTATTAAAAGGAAGAAAAAAAACACTAGTAATTAACAGTCGTGATACGACATTTCGAGATAACGTATTTACCGATATAATTCGTTATCTTTGTATTCGATTGATTATTTATTGTGATGTAATTGTTAATCTACTGTCGGCGTTAATGTTGCAATGTATTTAAACTGACTAGAGGTCCCGCGGTAGTCGAAATTCGACTATAATTAATAATAATTGGAATAGTAAGTTTGTACAGTATTATGATTGTATTTTATACTTCTATAATCACAAATTTCGCCAAGACTACACTATAAAAAAATATTAACAAAGACAAACAATATTTAATCTATTCTCAATTTGACAACGATGTCAAGAACAAAAGTTTGACAATAAATACCTAGAGTATGCATGCGTGTGTGCGTCAAATACATAGTATGTAGTGTGTGTAAAGTTTTCTTTATTGATTTAATGTATATTTTATGCATTATTTTTTAAAAATATTAGCATTGTGCACTTCTTCTCTATATTCTTTATAAGTGTGGAAAATTTCATACTCCTCCGTCCGCACAATTTTCGTAAAAAGGGATACAAAGTTTTTGCTTCACGTATTAATATATAGATTTAGCGATCATTGAGCGAGTACTTGTAATAAATAATATGCATAGTTGGGAAACGAAAATAAGACGGTTTGTGAATAATGTTCAGTTTTGTTGTCGTCGTAGCCTAAAGGATAAAACGCCCGGTGTATCTAGGGATGCATCGGTGTTCGAATCCCGCAGCCGGGTACCAATTCTTCTAATGAAATACGTACTTACTAAATACTTACGATTGACTCTCACGGTGAAGGAATAGCATCGTATAATAAAATTCCTATTTCCGCCGTTAAGCAGTAATGGGTTTCGGTTCAAAGGGTGGGGCAGCCGTTGTAACTATACTGAGACCTTAGAAGTTATATCTCGAGGTGGGTGGCGCATTTACGTTGTAGATGTCTATGGGCTCCAGTAACCACTTAACACCAGGTGGGCTGTGAGCTCGTCCACCCATCTAAGCAATAAAAAAATATATATGCAAAAAGCTAATACTAAAGCTTTCATTAACCCTCAGCCCATTGGGTTTCTCGCCGGATCTTCTCAGTTTCCAATCCGGTGGGAGATTCTGCGAAGCACTGCTCTTGCTAGGGCTAGTGTTAGCAGGTTAGAGCCCCGTGAGCTCACCTACTCGTCCGGTGAATCTAATACGACCCCTCGAAGTTACTAAAATAGTTTTTTTTTAGTTTATTGCTTAGATGGGTGGACGAGCTCACAGCCCACCTGGTGTTAAGTGGTTACTGGAGCCCATAGACATCTACAACGTAAATGCGCCATTCACCTTGAGATATAAGTTCTAAGATCTCAGTATAGTTACAACGGCTGCTCTACCCTTCAAACCGAAACGCATTACTGCTTCACGGCAGAAATAGGCAGGGCAGTGGTACCTACCTGCGCGGACTCACAAGAAGTCCTACCACCAGTAATGACTGGTACTGGGATTCGAACATCGGTGCATCGCTCAACACGAATGCACCGGACGTCTTATCCTTTAGGCCACGACGACTTCGAAAAGGATACAATAAAGCGAACATTTTAACATTATCAAATAACTAAGCGCATTAAAGAAACTATTACTTAATTAAATATAAATAATTCTTGTTTTTCATCCCTAAATTTCAAAGACCGAGTATTTAATAAATAACATTGGAGCTGTACAAAAAACGGGTTTTCAACAAACAAAAACGGTTTCCCACAGGCTTTGATCGTGAAGATCCCTCATTAAGACTATTTAAACACTATTATGGGCCATTATATTCACGCCCTAACAGGGCTGCCTTACGATTCGAATGTTTTTTTTGTGTTTTTGTGTGTATTTTAATTAACATTTCTCTAAAACCAAACCGTAATTCTGTAACTGCCAATTCAACACAAACAGTAATCGCTTTAGCCGTAATGAACATAGAATTTTAGAGGTAAAAATATTACTTGGAGATGCGACCTTTTGCCCTTGAATTCAAGGTTGTTTTATACGATCATCGTCTTAAAGCTATAAGACTTTTCGTTTCATATCAAAATTTTAAACCAGTTTCCATGGAATGTACCAAAACATCTTCCACAGCTTCTAGTACCTAATATTTAAATGCAATTTACATCAAGTACCTATTGTTTCAAGGTTTTGGTGGTTCGTCTTTTATTGCTTAGATGGGTGGACGAGCTCACAGCCCACCTGGTGTTAAATTGTTAGACATTTACATTTACGATGTAAACGCCGCTACCTACCTTGAGATATGAGTTTTAAGGTCTCAGTATAGTTACAACGGCTGCCCCGCCCTTCAAACCGAAACGCATTACTGCTTCACAGCAGAAATAAGCATGGTGGTGGTACCTACCCGCGCGGACTCACAAGAGGTCCTACTACCAGTAAGACTTAACTTCACTCCACTTCATCATCATCATTATCAGTTTATACCAGTCCACTGCTAGACCTCTCCAATTGCAGGCCACTGAGCCATAGTTGCTGCCCAGCTTCTCTCATCCAGCTCTTACCAGCCACCCAGCATATATCGTCACTCCACTTAAGCACTTACAACTTTATATTGGTGATAGGGCGTATTGTGGGACCCGCACAGGTAGCTACCACCATCTCCTATCTGCGAGGCAGCGTTACACTTTGAAATATGGGGCAGTCGTTATAAAATCTAATTGAGGCTTCAGCGCATGTCTCAAGTTGATCAAGGACAGATTGAAAAATAATTTTCGTTCGTATCAAAGAACACAACATTTTTGACAGATGCCGAAATCTCGCTGTCAACTCTTTTTCCTTTTTTCATTATTTTCCTACCTGAACTGGTAAACTAATACCAGCGTAACGGGGCGAGTAGGTGAGCTCACGGGCTCTAAGCTGGTGACGTTACTAACACTAGCCCTAGCAAGAGCAGTGCTTCGCAGAATCTACCGACGGCTCGGAAGCGCGACCCACTAAGAAGATCCGCCGAGAAACTCAGTGGGCTGTCTCTATGGGTTAATTTCCTCACCGCCCTTCGTCGCAAGCGACGGGATCGACGAGGACGGTAACCGGTGCTTGTGGTATCGGGAGGACCCCATTCCGTCCGCACAATCGGGTATAACATTGTCAATACAAGTTTGCATACATATATACAAGTTCCCAACAATAATACTTGCAGTGTCAGTCTACCGAGCAATTCCACCCGGTCGATATAAGATCTTTTCTTTGTCGTTTACCTCCCAAACTGGCGACCTCAATGCGATATTAACACACAAACTTCTCTGATGCCACCCATAAAATCAATATTTTTCAATTACAAATAATATCTACGTTATTATTTATTATAATTTAAACATCAACCCTAAATTATGACTAATATATCACAGAGACGTGGAAACATAGTACACGGATACCCTGAGAGACGTTAATCGCCACAATTGTTAGTTTTGCTGTGGTACAAATTTATTATTCAAACTGTCTGTGATATTTTCCAGAATATAAGAGGAAACTTTGTTTGTTTGTTTGTTGTTGTTAGGCAGTGCCTTAAAAACATCCTTGGGCCCGCGGTCTGATCGCACGCTTCTTAGGCGCGACAATCACGCATGAGGTTAGGCACCCCGCCCGAAAAAAAACGCATATTTAGTTAATTAGCTTTCGAATATTTTTTCATAAATGAACCTCTCAATTTGAGCAGGTACATAGGACCAGGACCTATAGTCATGGATAAATATCCTCGATTGCCTATAGGCCGAAGATAACATTTTAAAAGGCTATTATTTTAGGTCGTTGCGACCTTGAAGCAACAGTAATTGATATCAATGCAAGCTCCATATCGTTGATAAACGAATTATCACGTCTATTTTATTTATTGCTGCATACGTCATACTTAGATTTATGACTTGCAGTGAAATATATGAAAATTTAAAAATACCATATGCTGTCTAACTTTCGTGATAACCAAATTAAAAATAATGAATATTTAATACAGATGTAAAAATGCGTGAGATTATAAAAAACTAAATCAAAGCGAAGACCATTATGGAAATAAGCCGTGATGATGAAAAATTATAGTTGTTATTAATTTAATTAAAAGTAGTAGTAGGTAGGTACTAATTTATTTTCATTTTTGCTTTCTTTTAAAACTTCTTGCTAATGCGAGACTGCTTCGCGGCAGGAGTACTTAAGGATCTACAACATCCCGTACCACTATGAAATGCCGTTTTTTTTTTCTGCTTATGCTGATAGCCTTGAGAGGCTATTTTAGCTTCACCCTAGCGTGTAGGTGAGCTCTCAGGGCTCAAACTGGAAGTGTTGCTAACACTTGCCCTAGCAAGAGCAATGCTACGCAGAATCTACCACTGGATCGTAAACGCGACCCATTGAGGAGATCTGGCGAGAAACTCAGTGGGCTAATACCGGTTGACGACTGCTATAAGACGTAAGAACCTTTTCTTATCGCTGGTGTCCCTCCTCTTCCTTCAATTCTTGCCAGGAGGACTACGACCAAGACCCGTCCCGCAAAACCGACTACAACTAAATCCCATCAAACTCCATCACTCCGACTCCACGAAATCCACGGTACCGCATAGTGCCCGCCCAAAGGTCGCCTTCGCCAATACCCGTCCTAAAACGTAACAACCTACGGCTAAACTGAATGGTCTGAAATTAAATAATGAATTTAAGATATACAAAGATTCCAAAGTTAAGTCCTGATTAAATTGTCAGTTTTTACTGTAAAAACTGAGAACTTAGAACTCATATCTCAAGTTAGGTGGCGGCATTTACGTTGTAGCTGTCTATGGTCACTTGTAACCACTTAACACCAGGACCTTGAGCTTGTCCACCCATCGCAACAATGTTGTTGTTGTTGTAGTCCTATGGTACCCCGCTGGTACATAGGGCCCTCAAGGGTTCCGGTTATTACTTGCTTTGGGTTTCAT